ATCTTTTTTTATCAGTCATAAGGTAACAGCCACTTTCTCTTTTCCTCTGCTATGCACATACATTATTATCAGTCGAATGATTAACGGCCTCTTATTGTCAACTTCGGCATAATAACTTCAAGTAAAAAAAATTCAGCTCATCACCAAACTTAACACTTCCACCCTGTAAGCAGTTCTCAGAGACAAAAGCAACCGAATTTTTTTCTTTTTTAAATATAAAAACTAAATACTAGTAATTAGTTTACCTGATCATAATTCAAAACTTCCTCCGAGGCATGATCATAGGCGGCTATAGTCCCAACTGGCTGGCCACGAAAATGCACCAATGATCTTCGAAGAGCTTCCCAAGCATCTGCAACCATTGGATGCGGCTCGAAAGAGTTACGAGCAGACGAGGCAGGCGTGTCGAGTGCCGATCTCCCGGGAGAATACGCGCTCTCGTAATAATCCAAACCTCTCGAAATACCAATCGACAGCTCACTAAGAGACCTCTCGTCGAACGATCTTTGCCTCTCGATGTTCAGTCTGGGCTTGTCGAGCAGCTTCGAGAGGTCAAAATCGTCCATTTCGGATATCGACAGCTGTGAACTCACGTTTTTAAGCCCGGGCTCTTTTGGGCCATCCGATATTATTCCCCCCTTCACTCCATCAAGAACAACCTTAACTCCATCCATGATTTGTTTTGACTCTCAATCTGCATCACCAGGAAAAATGATCATTTGATATCAGGTTAGAATGAAGAAAACGAAAAGAAAAAAAAAAGGCATGTACATTACATGTTCTGTAAAGGGTATGTAAAAAAATCAACTTTTAGCTAAAAAAAAGGACTTGCCTTCCTTCATAAACTGGTTTTTAACCAAAAGAAGCACATACATCACCTGTTCGGTAAAGCGTATGATTAAGAAAAGTCATTTTTTGGTTATAAAAAGGACTTCTATTCCATTATAAACAAGATTTTTACAAAAGGGCAAGTACATTACATGCTCGGTAATAAAATGTACCACAAAATAATCAATTGGCAGTTGTAAAAAGGAGTTCCCTTCCATTCTAACCCATTTTTTAACAAATAAAGGAGCAAAATAGAACTAGCCAAGACTATCATAGAAATATGAATTGATTTTGTGTTCAGAATACTTGGCATATTCAATTTTAAAGTATGAACAGAAGCTATACAGATATAGAATGTTAAACATTATGCATACCATAAATGCTCGAAATATCACATGCTTATCAAGATACAAAGAAGAAGTATATGACGCTGTATAAGGTAAAAGAAAACAATTACCAAAATATCAATGGCTATTCATGAAGATATAATTGACTAGAAACAGACTAAAAGGTCTTATCTTCGCTGCAAACACCGCATAACTGAAAGGGCACTTGAGCTACCCGATAACTTGTTAATTGTTTGTGAATAAATTAATCTTCAAGGTAACAATAATGTAATGACTCGATTTGTTAGAAAAAAAAAAAATAAATGCTCCTATTTAGCATCCACTTTAAATAAAAAGTTCATACCTTAAGCTAAGGTATTAAAGACAGATAACAACATACCACAAGTCACCACAACAGTCTCGAATCCCACCTACCCACCCAAACTACTGAAAATTTAGGTAAGAGCTATTTTCATAAAATTAAGAAGAAGGAGAAAAAGAAAAACACAAAGTCCAGTATAGAGAATTTAGAAAGATTGCACCTTTATAACACAAACACATGCCACTGGATAAAAAAGGAGCCAAACCGTAAAGATGAACTATAGAAAACACGAAAAAAAGGTTAAAGATCGAATCTTTGATAACTGGGGAACAGAAAAAGATCCCACATTAACACACAACAAAATTTGCAAGATCCAGTTATAAACAGCTGCCAAAAATGGGGGGAAAAAAGAATCCACTAATCTCAAAGGAAAAAACAGCTGAAGAAAGATTCAAATTCAACAATGGTTTACGAAAAAAATTATAAAAATCCATGATCTGTTGATACACGGACAGATCTAAATCTCTTTTGTCACAGATCAAGAAACAGGGAACATCAAAAGCTATATATATTTAGAAAAGGGGAGAAAAAAAGAACCGACCTTTATGATGTGTTTGTGCGAGAAAGGGTGATGAGAGAATAAAGGGAGAATATTCCGGGAAGGGTGGCGGCCGGCAATATTGCCGGCGAGTAGGCAGATAAGTGATGAGGGTGGTAATGGAGGAGAGAGGAAAAAAAAAGGATTTTCTGTTGCGGAGCTTGTATTTATAGACCCTAAACTAAACCAACCCACCCGATAAAGAAATTTGTTAAACGGGCTTTTGGATCATCCAATCCCACAAAGACTATATAAAAACTAAAAAGTATGTATTTATGTAATGAAATATCAAAATTTATATTATAGTTTTTTTTAGTATGGTATATATGTATATGTGATAAAAAATATGATTAAATTATGCAAAAACAATTTTTTTTAGGCATACTAATCGTTAGGAATGTCTGACTTGTTAAATAATTGAACAAAAATACTTCAGTTCATTATTTTTTATATTTTATTTTAAAATTTCATATTTTCATTCAACAAATATATTTATTTATTCAAAATTATTAGTCTAAAGTTAGACTTATGATGTGCTTAATTTCATGACATTTCTATAATTGAGAGAGGCCAATTATTCACCTTTTATGACGTGTTTATTTTTATATTATAGTATTATTTTATTTTATTTAGTTTTTAAATGAAAAATGGGGAAAAATTTAAACCGTATAGCGTCAGCGTGTACGGTCAGGGAAACTACAGTGAAAGACACACACAAAGTGGCAAAAGAGCATTACGTAACAAAAGCACCAGGAGTGGGGCCCACATGGACAAAAAACGACAACGTTTCTGCACCTTCCGAGTCTTGCTCTGCAGCAGCCTGCACACTGCAATTGGATCAAATATTTTCATTTCCTTTTTTTCTTTAAGAAATAGTGTACTATTTAAACTTGAAAAACAATTTTGACTACAATCGTTAAGTTTTT